CCGCGCTCCCGGGCCGCTGCCCCGCGGAGCCGCAGCCCTCCCGCTGCTGCCCGGGACCAGGTGCCGCCTCCTGCAGCCCCCGGGCCTGGGGGGGGCAAGAGGAGGCACAGGGTGAATTTACATCCGTGCCCTACGGACCTACGGCTCTTCTCTGAGCAGCGTGGAGCAGAGCTGATTTGCAGCTCAAATACTGGACACACTGTTAGATGCCGATGTCCGTGCTAAAGTGATAGTAACAAGAGGAGCAGTAATAATAGTAATAGTAGTAATAGTAGTAATAGTAATAGCAATAATAATAATAGCAATAATAATAATAGCAATAATAATAGCAATAATAATAATAATAATAATAATAATAATAATAATAATAATAATAATAATCATAATAATAATAATAATAATAATAGTAATAATAATAATTCCACAGTATAAACGCGCAGGTGCTGCCTGGGCGGTGTGAAATGAGTGCGAGGTACGAGGGCAGCTGAAGAGCCAGGCGGCAGCGAGGGAGGGAAGACACAGCGGGCTGTCTCCGGAGAGGCAGCGGGCAGGGATGGAGGGACACCCGGAGCTCATGAGAGGCGACAGTAGCAGAGGGCAGAGACACGCGGCGGCTGTCGGTACGTGCAGGCTGAACAAAGTTACTTACGGCGGTGTAGTCCGGGCAGTGTGACCAGGGAAAAGAGCCGACTGGAGAACCTGATTCCACTTTCTGATTTTTTTGGTTTTTTTTTTAAATTTTGCTCCTAATTAAACAAAATGTTTAATTAGGTTTCTAATTTTTTTTTTAAGTAAAATCAAACTAACCCCCAAAACGTTCTGAATGTCAGGGAACCCCTGCCTGTAGCTGTTACACAGCAAAGGGCATCAGTTGGTGTAGACATTCAAAAGAGACTGTGAAGCCTCAGGGCACCTCAGCCTCTCAGGCTGTCAGCTTTGATGTAAATCTGACAACGGGCTTCTCTTAAGTTCGGGACCTCCCACCATTTCCGTACAGCAAGGTTGGGCCACACTCATTACTAATGAGCCAGTGGGAAAAAAAAAAAAAAGCACCCTGATCGTATTCAAGATGCTTCATTGAAATGCTTCGGGAAACACAGGCATTTCCCAACATAGCTATTTCCTTGGGAATATTCCAAACAGATGAAGTCAAAGTGATAACTCACTTGTATGTCTATGAACACTGCCCTACTAACTTTGCCTCTAGCGATTTCCTCTTTGTTTAAAGCACAGTAAGCATAGCTTGTGTGGTGTGCTTGTAGCACATGGAGACATCTAGCGCCTAAATAATAGACTGCAAATCTGCTTCATTAATCTGAAATCTGGGAGATCACAGTCGGATCCACGGCTTGCAGTATTTCTCCCCAGGACTGCAGGGTGCAGAGCACTTTTGCTACAAACCATCGCTGCCCGTGGGCAGGGACTGCGATGGAATGAGCAGCTGCACTAGCTCAGGAGAGGACTGTGACTGCAGCTCTGCTGCACAGATTGAGCTTCAGGCCTGAGATTTACAGCAATGATTCAAGACAGAGCTTAGCCCCAAAAGGAGTTGAGACAGTTCCTAACTTGCCTTTGTCACTAAACCACAGAGAGGAAAGCCCTTAGGTGTACAAATAAGATGATTTCATCTTGGCTTTGCTGGTGTATCTGTACTTCTTTCTTTGTTAGCCCAGGAGCAAGATTGTTCTAACACGTGCAATTGTAAAACTTTGCCTCTTTTCAACAAACACATGCAAACTGAATACTCACATTTGCCAATTACTGAAATTAATTTGAAGGTAAGCACTGCTTATCTACCAGAAAGATATTAGTCCAGGAACAGATAGTATTTATTTTTTTATACACTTGTCTAAAGAAAGAAGAAATACAGACTGCTGATCAACATCCTCAGCCAGAAGCTGAAAAAAAGCTCATTTCAGTGATACCCAAATGCAGATTTTTTTGCCAGTACTATTGCATGGGGACATAAAGTATAACATTTCTACACACTTAAATGGTTTGAAACTAAATATATTGCATTAGGTATGTGTGTGTGTAGGAGTGTACACTTGTGTATGTTTTAGACAATCCACATAATACATTCTTTTCAGTCTCAGGCAGTTCACAAACACCTTTGAGCTGTAAAAGCACTAGATCATAGGATCACAGGAAAATTAAAGCTGGAAAAGACCTTTAGGATCATTAAGTCCAACTGCCAACTTAGTACTACAACAACATTCACCATTAAACCATGTCCTCAAGCACCATATCCACTGCCTTTTGAACACTTCCAGGGAGAGAGACTCCATTTTGTGAAAAAAGAAAATAAAAAAAATTAATCTGAACCTCCTCTGGTGGAACTTGAGGCCATTTCCTCTTATCCTGCCACTTCTTACCCAGAAGAAAAAACTGACACCCACCTCACCATGACATCCTTTCAGGTCACTGTAGCTGTAGATCTCGTACAGAATGGAATATCACCAAGCAACTATAATGCTTTTAAATGATGGTTACATTTGAATAAAACAATCTCTAGATCCACTAAGTATGCAAAATATTGGACTTTGAAATTTCCTGAGTATTTGAAATCTCTCTACCAAACCCAAATGGTGCACAAAAACATTAGTATTAGTACTAAAAAGTAATACTAAAAGTATTCATATTAGTACTCCATTTGGTATCACTTATTTCTTCATGCTGCTTTGGTTTCAGCAGGCAAAAAGTGTGTAAACCAAAGTTTAAAGATTACAAAAGATGGACTTGAAAGAAATGATTGATGCCATCACTGTGGTCTAACGCTTTCAAAATTAGCAAGACGGAAGCAGCTTTTTGTCCTTCTGAATAAAAAGAGGTACTAGGAGAGAGGAGGGAGCAAGTTAGGAAGCAACAGGTGGGAGTAAATATAGGCTGTTACCAGTTAAAATTATGCCCTATTCTCTCAATTCCCATGCAGATCCTTAGAAAATATTGCTGTTGGTCTATTGAGATAAGAGAGCAAATGGACCTATTTCTTTCCTTACTTAAGCCTTTCTGGCATATGTCCCAGGTACTCTGCGGTAATTCCTTTTCCGTAGAGTAGCTATGTTTTAAATGGTCATAAAAAACACACAGATTTTATATTAACTCTCTGAGAGTATAGCACATGTGGCATAAGAAAAGTCAAATTATTAAAATAATGCAAACATTGCCTAGTCTTGGGAAGGTTTGCTCTTGGTAAGAGCCTGATCTAACTTTGACCTACTCTGCTGCAACCAAAGGTAACAGCAGTTAACAAAATGTAGCAACAGTTTAAGGGACAAGACAAGAGTGCAAAATGCATACTGGGAGAATGTAGAGGTCATTTTAAACCAAATTTAGTTGGGAGCAGATGGAGTGCATCATCTTCCCCTGCTCACTGAAGAGACAATGCCTTCTTTTTCTGTATGTCAAGACAACCCATATGCAACTCATTTACTTTTTGCAGTTTTACAAAAAAGCGTTACCTATTTCTGAGTTCTGCTAAATCCTACCTGTCATTCTCCTCTGTAACTCTTACAGGATTGTGTGTTCCCAAAATTTTTACAGTGGAGAAACTCTTCAGAATTTCAAGATTCTGGGTCATATAAAGATGAAAAACTGTTGAAAACCAACAACAAAACTTGTAATCTTTTTAGTGGCTTTTACATTTCCTCCTCAGTAATCAAATGTTGATAGTGAACCAGCAAAATACTTAAAAAACTTGTGTTAATTTATTGTGTTAATAGACTGCACTGCAGGGTGAAAGGAGAATTAATAAATCAAATTTATAAAAGAATATTTGAAAATAAATGTAAAGAACAAGTAAGAATGGGAGTGGGAAGCAGATGTACATAGATGGAACACATGAAGAGGAGCACATAACTGAGACAAAAGGAAGAAAGAAAAAGCAACAAAATCACAAAGCAGATATGAGTACCAGAAAACTGTATTTTATATTTTACACTTCTGTAGTGCAGTTTGATAAAAGACAAAATGAAACAAAGCCATATTGCATTAATTTTAAATATCATCAGAATAAAAGCCTCTACCAAATCAATTCATCCATTCACATTAGGAAACACAGATACTATTTTCTCATTGTGTTTAGATTTTAGTTCAACATTATTAAAAACATTTGATTGTGATCATCTTCCATATTTAAAAAATTTTTCATTGGGAAAGGTTCTCATGGCAGGTGTCCACCTTCCAAGCCACTTTAATATTTATTTTAATATGAATTGGTTGACATTTATGTCGATTTTACAAGCTAAGTGCAACAGTAAATTTGCCTTGCATTTAAGGTAAATATTTATGGAAACTGATTGGTAAATGAGTGACCAGAAACACAGACGTAAGGACTACTGGTTCTAGTTGCTTGTTTGGTCAATAAACATAAGCAATATATAAGCACATATACTGTTAGGCTAGTCAGATCCATGACAGTCAAATTTGGAGTGCTGTGCTCGTGAGACAAGCCACAATCTACAGACCTTTTAACATCTTTCAGAATTTTTTTATTATGAGACATTCCATAATCCATAAGGCAGACAAAAAATTGTTAAATGCATAATTTTCTACAAATTGCCTTCTAGGCTTTGGTTGAGTTTCTTTGAAATATCTGTGATCATTTGCTTTTCATCTGTGAATTTTACAAGAAAAAGAGCAGAGCTTAAAGCACAGATTTCTGATTTGCATCCACATGCTAATAAGCCAGAAACATGACAAAATTGTGTTCTTTTAATTTTTGAGAGTCAGAGACTGACTTCCACTGTAGGGAAATGCCTTTTAAGTGATCTGCTCTTATGGTTAATTTATTATGTGTAATACATAACATCTGCATGTATATATTATTATTTATGGTTATTTATTATGTATCTGATTGAAGAGAAATATAAATTCTTTCACACGGTGAAATGATCAGAAATAATACTTATTCAAAAAGCATTAAAACATTTGGAAAATTATAAAACTGTAATACTTCTGAATTAGTGCCAAAAGCAGATATGGGAAGTTCTAAAAACCTGTATTCCCTGGTACCTCTTTTCATCCCAGAAGAGATATATGTGGGTAGGAACACTTTGTGTATTTGAACATATAAAAGGCAAACTGCAACATTAGGACACTAAGATAACATTGTTTTCCATGGCATTAAAACCAAGTTTAGAACAGAACTCTCCATCAAACACAACAAGATACATTTCTTGCACATGATGATTTGCTAATGCAAATCTTCTTACAAAGCTTTGAGCTTGTCAATTCACATTTAGACCATAATCCTCAAAATTTCATTCTTCTATAAAAACTTGTGTAAAACTCAGCAGAAACACATTTGACACATGTTTAAGTAAAATTGTAGAATGAGGCACTTATGCTTACCTTGTTTTGCAACAAAGCAATAACATGCATATGTAAAATCAGAGGGGGGAATGTTTCCAGTAAATTTTCCGTTTTCTGCCAACACAGTGTGTCACCAAATGATGAACTGAACCTTTTTCCTTTTTGGAAGAACAAATACAAATGCACATCACACTTACAGGAAAAGTTGTCTGTTGGATTCCATGCATAGTATATCATCCTGACCTTTTAGGTTTTTTTTTACGAAAAAGCTCAGGAACTGAAGTGTCTAATATGAATGACAGCCAAATGTAAAAACAAGAAGTATTTGTTTGCCCAAGAGAAGCGAATACTTTGATTCTCTGAGATGCATTTGCAATCCTGCAGAATATGGTCCTTAAACATTTGGTTCAGGCTGAGATATTCAATAATCCTAAAAACCATGCAACTTTTTAAAATTCAATTCTTTAAACAAGAGCTTGAGGTGAAAGCACAGTGATAATTTTGTAGATGTTTCTTTACAAAAAATGTAAATTAACATTAAAATAGGACTCTCTGTACTAAAGCAGAAATTCACCTAGCAAAGTAGCCTCTTTCCAACAGTTGTTGATTACAAGAATGTATTTTTAAAATTGAGTAAATGTACATCAAAACTTGATAGACTACTTCCTCTTCTTTAAGTGACTTGCAGCTCTGTGTCACCATTGATATGCTTATTTTTACCAGCTTCTATTAAAGAATCTGTTGCTTTCTGAACCATGTAAGTTCCTAACATCCATGATGTCTTGTGACAAGGACCTCTGCAGCAACTACACCATGCATACGAGTTGCAAGAAGCACATCTTGCAACAAGAAATATCTCTTTCAGACGTTCCACTTATCTCAAATGATACCCCATAGTTCTTACATTGAAAGAAAGTTAGTCCTTATTCAATGACTTTTCCATGACACTCCACCAGGTTCTCTCATGCTCATCTCTTTTGAGATAATAATAAATATATTAATGAAATATATTTATTTGTCACTTTCATGGAAACTGTTTCATATTTCAATGTCTTTATTTTCCTTTTGCCAATTTTGCTGACCATTTATTTAAAGAAGACAGGAAGACAATTGAAGTATCCTCAAGAATATGGGTACCTTAGATTAAAAAAAGTGTTTTCTTTTCATTGTATTTTAAGTACCATATGCTATCACAATCACATCAGCAAGCTTTTAAGAAGGAGCTGCATTTCAGATTGTTCACGTTCTGTTCTGAACAGCAAGTTCCTGTTCTGTGTCAATTGCAAAATAGGAGCCACGCAAAAATTATAACCTTTGCCATAAACTAGACCTTTGAAAAAAATAGGCTGTCAGTTCCCTATTGTCTTCTCAAACACTATCATTTGATTTTAGGTAAGCAATGAGGGACAAAAAAAAACAGGAAAAAAAATACCTAACACAGTATATAACATGCTGAAGGCAAGAAAATGTTCTCAGCGCAAGCTTGCCATTCTTTGTATACATAAGGCTACTCAGTCAGGGAAGTTCTTTTCTGCTGACCCTTTAATTTTCCTTTAAGTTCTCTTGCTACCAATCTAATGTTTCTCTCTTGCTTTCTGGTTCCACTCCCTTAGCCTATTTCCTATTTTTCTGCAGTAGAAGCATATTTACTAAGCTAGGCAGATGTACATGTTGGACTGACACCAACATTTTATAGTTAAGTCCTACCTCTGCAAAATTCCATGGAATTTTAGCTGCATGGAAAAGAGAGCACAGGAAAAAAAGAAAGAAAAAAATTACATATAGAAACATGCTTCATGTTTGTACAACAAACTCAGACAGAAAAATAACTTAGACAATGATTTCTCAGCTGAAACTTCAAGCTGAGCATAGTGAAGGTTTAATATCTGTCCAAGCAATTTTCTCCATTCTGAATTAGAGCACAGACTCAATAGAGATTAAAAATTTAACTGAAGTCAACTCCTGAGAGAAAAAAATGCCAGAGCTGGGGAAGGGCGTCTAAAAGAAAAAAATCAGAAACAAGCCTCTAGAGACTCTGAGGAAATGACGGCACAGAAAAGCTCTTGCTGACTTCATGTATGATAGAGGCTGTCTGAAAGACTCACTTGGACAATATTTTCATAAAGTCTGGTGTTTCTCACCATATATTTACACTTTTTACAAGCATAAGGAATCACCAATAGTGCTGACTTATACAGTGATTAGACCTTTTCATGGGTCCAGACTAAAATTCATATGAGGTCAAAACAATGCAGTGCCTTTCATCAGCCCCTGATGCAGGGGTAAGATTCATGTAGGCTTTGGACTAAACCTCCATATGTACATGGACCAGATTCATGCTGGACAGCTTGGTCAGAACAAAAAATGAGACTGGGAAAATTTGTGTCCTCTCTTTGAAGCGCTCAGCAATTGGACATAAACTATTAGACATTTACATTTTGGCTAACCAAAAAGACAAAGAGCAGGATACAGTCATTTCCCAAACCTATGGATGCCTTAAGTCAAATTTCTTGCTATGCAGAAAGGACTGTTTTATGGTTATAGGTTGCTATTTTACTTCATTTGTTATACAATTAACACTTTTTACATTACTGTTTTAAATCATACACCCTTCAGGAGATAAAATATAATCCTCAAGACCCAGCTTGCAGAATCTCATATTGGTCCTGCAAGGAGCAGCACCATAAACCAATGTGGAAACTCAAGGTTATTTAATGTTGTCAGCTCTCATGACTCTTTCATTAGCTTGAAGTTTAATAACATCTGCCTTACGGGCTCTATATCCTCTTACTCTCTTTAGAATACTATAGTTACATCAGAATCTAAGATTTCTTTTATAATGAAGTACTTTAGCTTCTGTTTTGAAGCTGGAGTTGAAATTTAACTTTTGTGTCCACTGACAGTTCAAAACACAGGAGGTAAATTAAAAGGACCAGGCTTAGGTTAGTTTGTGCTGTGGGAGATGGATAAACTCGACTTTTTGTGGTCCAACATATGTTTTCGATATATTGGATTGGTATTTTAAAGAGTTTACTGGCCCTTCCTTGTTGAAAAGACTCAAACATCCTCTGTAAAACAGATCTTGTACAAAACTTTATAGACTGCATTCTATTTACAACTAAATCTAAAAAACAGCTCTGTAGGCCTCTTTTTCCTTTTTATCTGATTGATAATGATCTAGGTCACAATGCAGTAGGATCTTCCTACGATTCTGCCAGTATTGTCTCACAAACAGTACAGTCATTAAATACTACTTAAAGGATAGCAAAGACCCAACACAGGATACAGACCCTTTTATGTTTGAGTCAACTTCAACCAACACTCCAGCAGATTAAAAGAATGATGGATTTGTGTTTATGAAGTGAGTTGAAAACAAAGTACAGAGGAATTGCCTGATGCCACTGTGGGGAAGCACACTGAAGACAAGCAATCTTTTCAGTCCAAGGCAATGCAAAACGGTGTCTGTTTTGTAACCATTACTGTCTTTTCTAGTACTCCCAGCAGGAAGGTCAGGCCCAGGAAGATTAAACAGACTTTTTTTGGGATCTAACCATTCTGGCTTTTAACATGACCAGTCAATAGCACTGATGGACTCTTACAAGGAAACATATAAAGTCAGAAACCTCCTCCCATACACTAAAATCCAATTACATATTTGAAGTAGAAGTATAAATTTGACTAAAGGGCTTAAGATAATTTGCCAGTTTTTGTGCTGGCATAAATTCCTACATTTCTAGAGCACTCATGACCAGCCTTTCCACTGAACTGCAGACTGCATTAGATAATCTGCTGGTAACAAAGATTATTAGGCTAGGATGTTAAATGTAACAATGTCTGGTAATTCAGGTATACATCAGCAGAGGGCATAAAGAAGGTCAGAAAGCATTCAAATGCAAACTAACCTGAAAATACCTATAAATAATCCAAAGTTTTATCACAGTTTTGTTTCACTATCAGCATTTGCCTTTTGTTGTTGCTTCAAATTGCTTCTTCTAGACATAAGAAAATCAGTTATTCAAATATTAAGTATAAGTGTTGTTAAACAGGTGTAAAGAAATATTCTTTAAATACAAAGTCTATGCTTATATTCTTACAGCTCTTACCTTCCCAAAACCTTTGTTATAAGAATTTCCACAGGAAAGCACATGGGAAAACAGCAAAACAAATGGTTTTTCTGTGGGCTTACCCTTCTCAAGAAAGCCCAGTGTAATTTATTATTGAAATTTTGAATGCCACACTATTTTCAAATGTATTATGTCAAACACATTTGAAAACCAAGAGCCAGCATATATAAATAAAGTTGTGCTTGAAGAAATGGGTCTAATCATATCTGTGCAACTGAAAGCATGATTGCTGATCTAAGTCATAGGATGCACACAACTCACTGATCCAACTTGGAAAAGAAACTTAGGAAAATATAATAAACTAAATTGAATTCTCAATGTCTTTATCAAATAGCTATAGGCCTATTTCGGCTGTAACTGGACTAGAAGCTTCTAAAGTCATGCCCACTGCTTTCTGTAAGTTGTGCTTTTATTTTTGGAAACTCTAATTTTTTTCCTTGTAGCTGGGAAACATAAGACAACAGAATGTAGAAAAATCAAGTGTGGTCTGGCTGAATGATTATTTCCATCAATGATTTTGACTGGTCCTACTATTTCAGCTATTTCTGAATCTGTTTTTGTGCAGTACTGTAAAACACTTCTGAAGAGCTGAGGCAGCTTTGCACCTCATGATAAGGAGGCTGCCTCCTTATCACAAGGAGGATGACCTCCTCACCAAGGCCATCAGAAATCTAACAATAGCTTTAGAGAGAGCTCATCACAAAGCTTTAGGCTTTGCATTAGGGTCTAGTCCAGTGCTCTCCAAAGTATATGAGTGGCAGGGAAATGTACAGCTCAGGATGTGTGCCAGACAATCTGCTGGAATGAAGAAATATGGGTTCTAGCATTAACAAATAAATTAAATAAAAAATAAAATTAAAAATAAAATAAATTAAAAATAAAATAAAAAAAATAAAATAAAATATAAAATAAAATAAAATAAAATAAAATAAAATAAAATAAAATAAATTATTCAAAATAGTGGGTGTTTGATTCATTTTTATCTAGTGGGTGTTTGATTCATTTTTATCTCACATTGTTTCAATTCCTATTTTGGTAAATGTTTTATAATGTACATAATACATTAATAGTATTGTATGTGTATACAATTTATGAACAAATATATATGCCTCTATTATGGGTGCATGCTCCAAAACGTCTTACTGATAAAGGTGCATGCTCAAAAACTTTTGGAGGTCACCGGTCTAGCCCAAGTACAATAATAGTATCAGTGAGTAAAAGCAGAGGATATGCCATTGTTAGACATAAATTCTTTTATCACAATAAACTGGTTTCCCAAGGACATATGATAAAACAAAGGAATTGGAAAAATAGAAGTAATGTAGGGTGCCCCCCCTCCCCTTTTCCGCTTCCTTTCATTTTTACATTTTCCTTCTTCCTCACTATGTTTCATTATATTTGGCACTTCTCCATCTACTAATTGCTCCACTCTCATTTGGATTAGTTACATTTTTCTTTCAAAAAATATTTTATTTTGAAAAGACAAAAGCTTTGAGCTCCCTTTGTATCTTCCTTTTAATTTTTCTTTTTCCTCATTTTGCCTAGTTCTATTAAAATCTCTCACTTCTCCCAGCATCTCCCCTTTTTCTGTCTCAGTCTGTTGGTTTTACTTTCCACTACCTAACCACAAACTCCTTTCATCTGATCTGCAGATCCATCTTTGGGCTTTCACCAGGCCAAAGATTTACCTTAACCTTTTTTCTTTTTCCCCAGTGGAATGTCCTCTTTTCCACATCCTCCCTTTCCTGTATTTTCTTTTCCTGCTAAAAGATGGAAGAGAAATACTTAAGAGCAGACACATGGTTTTATAGTGTTCTGTTTCCTCTGGCCTTCTGGCTACCTGTCAACCAACCTCTGCTTATGAAAGCAGGAATAGCTGAACATCTGCTGCAGCAAGTCTCTTCTCATCTATTCTCCTCTGTGCCACTGTGGCATGTAGTCCATGGAGCCTCATCCATTTCTGGCTGCAGGCTGCAAGGTTTCTGAGATGGGCTTGGGAAGCACTGAGACTAGGACAGGGGCAGCTAGGCAGTGCCATGGACAACAAAGCCTGCAGGAAGAAATGGGTGTGTGAAGCTGAGGAACAATCTAAAGTCAAGGGAGGACTGGCCACATCAGCAGGTGGTGATTGCTGCAATTCCAGACTCTTAGAGCAGCAAACATCACAATAAGCAATTTGGCAATATGCTTGGCATTATGATTTAATGATCAAGAGCCTTTGAAGTCTGACATTATTAATTTAGTTGGTTCTCCACAGCTGCACTTTTCAAAAAATCATTAACCGGGGTGTTTCAAGACACACGGCGGCAGAATATTCAAAAAAGGTAATGTAGATACCTATGACACTTAATGGTTTTTTCCTCCTAGAAATTTACTAGAGTTAAAAGAAATGATCAGTACAGGAATTATCAATGTATATGCACTTATTTTTTTGGTCAAAAATACCATTTGACATGGTATTTTCTGATATGTACTGTATTACAGTACATATCAGAAAACATTACTAACAAGTTAAAGATGACCGTTTAAATTAGTTTTCAAGGTATTTGCTGGTACCTAATTTCACTGCTTTAACTATGCTAAAAAATATCTAAGTGCTTTGGAGATATGGTTTCTTCTAATAACACTTTTTCTAAAAACATTCTATCACAGAAACAGTATCAGCACCTACCCACTATCCCATAAATACCATGCCCTATTCTACACCAATGGTGTCAAAAGTCAGTAGAAGTATCTATAGAAATACTGCTCCATAAAATATAGTAATGGCTAGATTATATATTTTTACGCTATATTTTTTTATAGATAATACATATTGTGTCTTTTTTTATAAGATTAGTTGAAAACATGAACGCATATTTTCAGTAATGCAGTTTCTCAGTGTACCCTAAAGAATGAGAAAGTGTGCACTACTTCCCAAACAAGACATACCTTAGGACAACTAAATGTCTAAGGAGAGGAAGCATTTCCTTTACCAAGAAAAATAATGAAATCAACTGGAGAAGAGTTGGGCAAGATGACAGCAGAACAGTTCGCCAAATCCTGCAAACACAAAAGGGAGGACATTCATTTAGGAGTGAAAATTTAAGCAGATGGATTTAAAAACAGAGAAAATAAAGTATTTCTTTTAGAGTGATGAAATTGTTGGATTTGTAGCCATGGAACAAGAGTATCAAAGTACAAAAAGGCAATAAATGCTATCATACACTACAGATTTTAAAGAGCATAGGTTTGAATATAGTCTTTAACATTTCTAGTTCTCTAATCTAGGACATCAGTGGAGCACAAGATCTGACAACACAGAGTATGCAGTCTAAAAGTTCTTCCTAAATCACATCTCTGACTAGCAATGTTGCAGACAGAGCACTGGGACAGATGGATAACTTAATTGACATACTACAGCACTTTCAAAGAGAATTTACTACAAGAAAAGCATTTTCTGTGCATTAGCTCCTAATCTGTTTGTGTATTCTAAACCAAGTGAAAATGCGATACAATTAACAATGTGGAAACATACTGTCTCCATGTTTCCTGTAGTGGATCAGCTCTCATCACCATAACCAAATTGGCTCTTTAACTAGACTTTTGTAACAGGGAAAAACTCCTGTGAACCATAAAAGGGAAGCATAGAAAATCACTGCAGCCAACCAAATGATTCACTAATAAAATAAAAAAAAAAAATCTGATTTTTTGCTATCCTAAATGATCGTATGATTGACTACAATGTAACTATACAATTATTGAATAGCTGTATGTCTATCAGAGTCAGGACATATTTCAAAACATTAATTCATAAACAAACACACCTTAGTGATTCCTGGTTAGTTTTAAAATCCAGTTATTTACTGAAGTCATACAGTACTAAATACAATTCAGAACAAGTGGAAAAACAAATAAATAAAAGGACAAAAAATTACCATTAAACACACACATTCTTATGGCCACATCCTCACATGCCACAGAGACAATTTTACTCAGAGCAGCTGTTGGAACACTGACAAAGTAATAATCAGAAGTGAGTAAAAATGCTTTATTCGCACATGAATGCTATTGTTTATATATGATTGCTTTTTAAAATAGCTATGCCCCATAGAATTCATCCAATTGCTAAAGCTAGAAAAGACCTTTAAGGTCAACAAGTCCAATCACTAACACAGCACTGCTAGGTCTCCCACCAAGCCATGTCCCAAGTGCTGTGTCTACTTGTCTTTTAAACACCCCCCAGGAAGGTGACTCAATCACTTCCCTAAGCAGCCTCTTCCAATCCCTGACAGTCTCATTGGTGACAGTATTTTTGCTAACATCCGATCCACACCCACTCTGGTGCAATGTGAGGCCATTTTCTCTTTTTCTATCACTTGCTACTTTGAAAGAGATACTGCACTGTGTAAAAAAAAAAAAAAACCTGTTGATGCAAACTTCTGTGGAAAGCAACCCTAAATGTCACAGATCAGACACACATGGGAAAACACGTGATTTTGTAATGCACGAACAGTGCCTTGCATAAAATCCATTTCCTTACATTAGAAAGAGAATATATAGTGGGACAGTAATGCATTGTACCATCAGTCTGAAATGACCATGGATTAAATTTAATGTTTACCTCACCTGCATTTTTCTGGACTTGCCTCCAGGACTGCATATTCAGATTTGCTAGTCCTTATGCTATCGTATGTCCCTGAAGAGGTCTAGTTACTGACAAGTGATTCTCAACTTTGAAACTGAACCCTCAAGATTTTGTTACTACAGAGAAACAGATAAAATACATATCATCCTAACTTCTAGATAACTCAAATTGTCATCGGTAACCCAAAATGTTGTTGCATTCCATATCTATTTGTGTCCAAAATTGTTCCTCTGACCCTGCAGCCAGGAAGCTGGGCTGGGGTGGGGTGCTATCGGTGATTTTAAAGTTGGCTCTCACAAGCAGCTCATGCCCTCTCTCCATGGGGGTTTTGGCTCACTAACTGGTGTTTGCCCAGGCAGAGCCATTTCCTTTTGGGATTTTTGTTCGGCTTTTTTGTCTCGTCTTGAGGAGTCTGCAGTTGGCAGTTCTGAGCTGCCATGGAGGCGAATTCCACGCGTCGCCTGTACTGCTGCACCGAGCGGGGCAGCCCTGCTCCAGCAAGCTGGTCCGGATCCATCAGTCCCCGCTCCAGGAGAGAAGACTACGGAGTCACCCCAGCCCAGACACCTTGCCTTTACTGCTCCTACCAAGTGAAAGGGAGAGCCCTTCCGTAAATTTCCAGCCCTTGATCCGCAAAGCTCCAGCTGGAGATGAGCAGGGCACAGGGGAATGGTGAGGGAAGACTGGCACCACCTCTCCCTTTGTCCTTCACACACACTCAGCTGTGGAGCGTCATCCTGAGGGGCTGTCCACAGCATTTTGGGTCTCTCTGTTCTGTGGAGTCTGTGAGGTTTAGCAGTTTTGTATCTGGTGGGTATTTGCTGTTATTTCTTCACTGTTGCTGTCCCCATTGTCAGTAAACTTACCTTTTCACTTACATCTACTTGTATTCATCACTAACTGGTGGAAAGGGATTGGTTGAACCTACAAATGGAGGTAGATCATTCCAGAGTGTTTTTCAAGTTGTCTTAAATCAAGACACAAATTCTTTTTGTTTAGGAATCCCAAGTAACATGACAGAGCATCTATTACACACGTGCTTTGAAGAGCAAACTGAGGCAGTGCTGGGCTCTACAAATACAGCAGAAGAGGAACATTTTTTCAAGTCTGCATTTTTTTGGTCTACCCTCCTGTTCTGGCTCCAAGCATGTAGTTTGTGTTCCACCACTTCGGTGGTGACAAAATCTCTGACAGGAAGTAACTTTTATTAAATCTTGTTTCTAACTACAAATGATACTACAACACAAAGAGAATTCTAATAAGTAAGGCATGCATTACTTTGCTTTTCTCTGTGCAGCACACTAAGATACACTTGGCTAAATACAAAATATAGAAATAAACTAGTATTTAACTAGTACACCTTGAGAAGCAGAAAGGGCTGAAAACTGCAATGATTCATCAGCACCTAGATTTTACCACCCAAATATTTCATGAATGTGTTTCTAATGAATTAAAGCACTGCCATCAATGCAACAAAACAGAACCATTCTGGGAGGCTGTTTTAAACCAGAGACCAGAAATTTCTGTTCCTGTTTGGAAGAGTGTGCAGCATCTACCAAATGGACCTAGCAAACTTATTTTAAGAAATACCTGGGGATATATTGGAATGCATCATATGTGTCTCCAAATCTGTAATTCTCTCACAAAGCTGCTGGTGATTTTTATCCACACATTTTTATCCTTGCTCTCCTTAGAATGACTTACATTGACTTACATAAGCAGACAACATTTACATTTAATGTGTTCTTAGACCATATAATCTTTAAAAGCAGATGACTTGGCCAATGAAGCACTTTTGCAATACTTCAGGTGCTGGAGAAAGGTTGCAGTGCCATTACATGCCCTTGAGCTACTATATGAGTTACTGTTCAAATTACTTGAAATGTTGTTCTAGTTTAAGACTTGTTCGGATCTTTGGCATAGTTCAGTTTCAGAGTTTTACTAAAGCCATCATTTACCTGACTACAGAAGAAAACTTGTGGCAAAAACTTTTGTGTCTTTAGAAATTACAAATGTCTCAGTATGATAGCCTCATTACTTTCACATTACATTCACCCAAAGCTCTAGGAGACAAGGCACAGTTACCTATTTGAGGTGCACACAGCCTCCAACCTAATATCAATCTATATTGACTGTCTCATCAACATCTCATGTCTTCTCTGCAGTGCTCAGTGAAGGTTAGAAAGCTATTTGCCCTCTTTAAGAAAAAAAAAAATTGAAAATTAAACATTAAAGTGACAACCATTTGTGTGGTTTACCAAACCATACTCCTTTTACCAGCCACCAAACCTCTTCTAAGCAACCATTTTGAGGTTTTCTCATTATTTTGAAAGACGTTATTAGACAAGACACCTTACTAATGCTCCAGGGAAAAAGTTAATGCTGAGGTAAGTTGTTATGGTTGGCTCTTCCTCACTGGAGGAGTAATCTGTTTTGAAGACCATTTCCTTTAAATTTTCTTCATTCTTAAAATATTTCCCTTGCTATTTAACCAGAAGTTTGCTAGGATTTTATTTCCTTTCACTGAAACAAGACACCTGAAGTGAAAAAAAAGATAAAAAAAAGAAAAAAAAAAGAAGATACAATGTAGAAATTATTGTCATCATACAATATAATTTATTAGGGAGTCATTGTTTCTTTTTATAATCTCATAACTCAAACTGGTTATGAAGTTCCATATGTCAAGTGTTCTAAGGTTGTATCATGCTAGCATTTCAAGCTGGTGGTACTCAAGCTGAATGGATTTTAACAATTAGAGTTATCTGAACTGTGATGGTGATGAAAAGTGATGGTGAGCAAGACTGACACAGTTACTAGTTTATGACAAACTTCCCCACAAACAATTTTTCATTTCTGTTTTACAAACACTAATCAGGTGATGTAGAACCAACTTTATTACCTGATTTTATTGAAACAACCCAAAACAACTGTATCTCATAACTTAATAGTAGCTGTGAATACAACAATGTTTAAGATATCTTTTCAAGTATGCTTATACTTTCCTTCTAGCTTTCCAACTTCCCTTTTGAAGTACACTGTAGCAATCTCTGATCTTTGATGACACTATGGTATAAAATATGGTATCAGTCTGATTCAGCAGTAGTGCATCAAACAGCAATGGGTCTCAGGACTAAGAGAAAAAGGGCTCTTTTGTTGCTTTCTGTTGCTTTAAAATAAAACATCAAAAGGAGGGAACACCAAATGAAGACAATTATTTTAAATAGTCTACACTTCTGAGCTGGTGTATGCAGCATGACAGTGGCTGAAGGGAATCACTTGAGATCATCTACTTGTATGCTCAGAGCAGGGTCTGCTACAGCTGTGCTCAGCTAAATTCTGACTATATGTAAATATGAGAACTGCACAGTCAGTCACAATGTTTGATTTGCCTCACAAAAAATATATATGCTCTATAATTTCGGATTACATTTTCTGGTTTTTAGTGTGCCATCATGACTCTTGCCTCGCACAGGGCAGTACGGAGCAATGTCCAGCTCTCTCCATTCCCTCTCTCCAATATTCACACACAACAGTTAATATCTTTAGCAATGGGCAACAAGGAGACACAGACCCACTTATGCAGCCAAAAGAGATCACTTTATTGTAGAAATCACCTCCCTTTTATACCTTAAATCTCAACCCAAACTTGGCAGAGGAAGGGCACCATTGGCTGGCTCAGCTGCAGTGCTGCTGTCCACGA